GCGTGCGTGCGTGCGTGCGTGCGTGCGTGCGTCATGGCGGATATACAGACTGCATCGACTATCATATACGGTTCGATGATCTGTATGTCGTCGTTCGGAATCACGTGTAACATACTGAACGTGTTAGTGTTAACCCGACGCAGCCTCCGGACCCACTCAACCTACACCTACCTGACCGGCCTCGCTGCCTCCGACGCCCTGACACTTCTCTTTGTCCTCCCTCTGGCCTTCCTTCGTTTCCTCATGGTGCTCAACGTGAAACAATGTCTAACGAGACCGCAAGCAGTGTTCGAAGTCTACTTCTTCATGCCTTTGAGCAACACGTTCTCTGCTCTCAGTATTTGGATTGCAAGCGCTGTAGCTCTGGAACGTTTAATCTTCATCCGCTACCCGGTGACGTGTAAGATCTACTGTAAACCGAAGGTGGCATGTGTCGTACTGGCGACCCTCGCGTCGTGCGCTGTTCTCTTTCATCTTCCGTATTTCTTCACGCGGGAAATCACCGACGGAAACGCGACGACGGGCAATGCTACGAACGTCGGCTGCCACGACGTCGCTTACACGGGCGTGTCGGCGACGCGATCCTACCAGGCGTACCGCTGGATCCGCGTTACCCTCGTGCAGATCGTCCCCTGGTTGCTCCTGCTCGTCTGTAACCTCTGGTTGCTGCACAGCTTCCGACGGTCACGGAAGATGACGCGTAGTAACAGCGGCAGCGGCACGAACAGTACGTTCAGCAAGGCAGAGAACCGTCTCACGCTGATGCTCATTGCCATAGTGTTTGAGTCGCTTATCCTGGACGTCTCCATCGCTCTCACGGACCACGTCAGCTCGGCCGTCATATTCGGCGGTGGTGACGAGGAATTCTACAACAGCGCCGCCTACGCTAAACTCACGCTAACGGAGAACTTTATCGAAACTCTGAGTCACTCGATCAACTTCGTTCTCTACTGCCTGCTCAATAGAAACTTCATGCGAGAAGTGCAGGTTCTGTGTTCGTGCGGAGCGACGATGAAGTTCTCCGCGTACAGCATGGCCGACGGAACTCTGACGACACCACGGAACAGCATAGACTTACGCTACCTGGGATCGGAGAGAGGGCGACGTGCGTCGGCTCTCAAAGCCAGCATCAAATCGTGCAGGTAACGGCCGGCCAAGCGTCGGCATGAACTAATGAACATACGATGATGAACGTCGATAAGTATAGGTGAACAGTTCCTGCATTGTTGTTCATCGGTATGCCATGCAATGAACATACCCTGGTGGACGTCAGTAACCGTAGGTGAACATTTCCCACATTGTTGTTCAGCAGTAAGTCATGTAGGTGAACATTTCCCACACTGTTGTTCAGCGGTAAGTCATGTAGGTGAACATTTCCCACACTGTTGTTCAGCAGTAAGTCATGTAGGTGAACATTTCCCACATTGTTGTTCATCGGTATGTCATGTAGGTGAACATTTCCCACATTGTTGTTCATCGGTATGTCATTCAGGTGTACATACCATACATTGTCGACTCTGGCCATCCGCATCTAGACACACACACACATACCCATCGTCCATCCCGCAACGCTGTACAGTCATACCCCACGTCAAGAATCCGTAACGCGGTCCAGAAAGGAAGTACGTAACGTGAAATTCCGCAACGTGAAACACACAGAACAGGGAAAGTTTGGATGGAGAAACGCCATTCATTTATTTGAAAATTAAATACGGATGAGCGTATCTGCGTACTACCCGTAACTTGCGAATTACGCATGAGACCGAGTTTACGTAACGCGAGTTATCGTAACGCGGGGATATTACTGTACCTGTACAATAATTAAGACTGTGCATAAGGGAAGCAGCGGGATAGCAAGGCGAAAATAAAACGTACAGCGGGAATCACACCGCGGCTTCACTCGCGTCTATTCTATACGAAAATTGTCAATTTACTTGCTGTTGTAATTTTGTTACTCGATGGTTATAGGGGAACCCGAGACATGGACCCGCGTTACGTACTGCCACAACAATAAAATGTTATTACCGTAACTAATCAACAGATTCTGTAAACGACTGCGGGAAACACGACCTCTGCTCTTTCTCTCCACCATATAACTATTCGAGGCGGTGCGAGCGAGAGAGAGCGCGCGCGCCTTGTGTTGGTTAGTGAAACATCTTGTAGTCCACGAGTCATACGCGGGTATATATTATTATACACACATATTCACGTGTTAGGTCAGCGACCTGGGGCCGGGGCTGGTTTCACGGAATGAATCGAATCTGCACTATACCACATGTAGATGTCCACTAGCTGTTTGTTTGAGGTCTCTGTACTGTAACATCAGCAGGGAATACACCTGCATGTCTTAAATGAACAAATGTTGAATCTGGATGGATTGATATAGTATTGTGGGTCCAGGATTCAACCAAAGCTAAGCGTTACATTTATTAATTTGACATATTGGTTTTTCATTTTCCATAGATCAAGTGCATTCATCTGTGTCGAATATACAGATACGAGATCAATCATTTATATCAATCATGGGGCCGTTGTCAGAAACATCGTAAAGTTAATGCTAATGTTAATGCTAAGATAACACTTACGACTAATGTTAATGTAACGAGAGGAGCGTTGACAGAAACACATCGCAGCTATTAGAAAACTTACGATAACAGGAACAGAGAGAGAGCGAGAGAGAGCGCGAGAGAGAGAGAGCATCATTAACGTCTGTGTTTCACTATACTCAGCAGCAATATTCTCCGTGAGATGTGAGAGAGGCACAGCTGGCTTCTGTCTATGCTATCTGTAGTTTGTCACGCAGTGTAGTAGTTAGTGTATCTGCATCTGCGTGCGGGGCAGGCAGGCAGGCAGGCAGGCAGGCAGGCAGGCAGGCAGGCAGGCAGGCAGGCAGGCAGCAGTGATAACACGCCTTGCCACGCGCTCGTGCACGGACGGACGGACCAGCGACTGAGTGTGAAATATATATACACCCGACTACATATTTTGTGAACTGGCGACGGACCGGGTTTGTCGTCGTCAGCACGTTGCTCGTGTGTTAGGCTACTGCAGCGCCTCCTGACGGCGCTGGCGCGTGGAAAAGCCGGACGTCAGGAAACAGCGACGCTTTACAGGCGTCTTTTACGTGTTTTATAGGCGTCTTTAACGCGTTTTACACGCGTCTTTGATCTGTTTTAAGAAAGAAGCCTATATTAATATACATGTATACATATTAATGTAATTTGTTCTTATACCCACATGTAATTGCCACATGTATCTATGTCCCAATATTCTTCATACAGAGAGTTCTTTCATGACGAATAGTGAGTAATTTTTATCTAAAAACGCACGTTGGGAATAGGAGACGGTATCAGAAAGAAGCCGAGGGTCAAGTGCATCTATTTCACGATAGTTGTGCGTAATTGCCTCACAGACCTCAATCGCTGTCGTAGCAGCATGATGATTACTTCACTTCGTACCAGTAAATAGGCCACACGGCGGTCAATAACACAACTAGCTATTGGATAACGAGGACACGGCGATAATGTTGATGATGATGAGGATGATGATGATGATGATGTTGTTGTTGATGATGATGATGATGATGATGATGATGATGATGATGATGTTTGTGATGATAATGATGATGATATTTGTGATGATGATGATAATGATGATGTTTGTACTGATGATGGTGGTGGTGATGATGATGATGATGATGATGATATAGCGGTATATAGCGGTGCATACATAGCGGCGTATAGCGGTGCGAACATAGCGGTATATACATAGAGGTGTATAGCGGTATAGACCGGTATAAAGAGGTCTACAGCGGTGCATAACGGTATATAGCAATGTATAGCGGCGCATAGCTGAACATAGCGGTATATAGCTGTGCGTGCATAGCGGTACGTAACGGTACATGATGCGCAATGCTATCTGCGCAGTTTTGCGCGCGCGAGCGATGTGCGTACGGGCTGGCCGTGAGCGTGTCATCACACCACCGGGAGCAAATTGTTGCGGTCGCCGCCGCACGCGTTCGCCTGCACGCACACGTGCGCGTGCACGCACACGTGCGATGCACGCACACGTGCGATGCACACGCTTCGCACACCGTTACACAACTCTGTGACATTCTCAAGTTAAAGGCCATGTTCACTCTTACGGTGAGCGCGTGGGGATACTAATGATCGCTGTGTGGATGTAAGGATGCAGCGCGGACACTGCACACTCTCATGACGTCTTTAACATGTTTTACAGAAGTTTTTTACGTGTTTTACAGGCGTCTTTAACGTGTTCCATCGGCGTCTTTGATGCGTCTTGCCTTCGTGTTTTTGACGGTGTCTCCCAGCGTTGGTCTACGCACCGTGGAAGCAGTCATGTGTGTGTCGCGTCCACCCGCATCCACGACGACGTCGCTGCCACGTCGACCAGTGTCCGTGCTGCGTGCGTGTGTGTCCGCTCACACCACCAGCCGCACGATGACGAGCGCGATGCGATAGCGTTCGGCGCCGACGCTGCACCAACATCGCCGGAGTTTTGTGATCACGTGTACCGCCCCTGACGTAGTCTCCCCCGCCGCTGCTGCCGCTACCACTAGTGTCGTCACAGACGAGTCTCATCACACACGTGCGTGCGTGTGTGCGTGCGTGCGTGCGTCATGGCGGATATACAGACTGCATCGACTATCATATACGGTTCGATGATCTGTATGTCGTCGTTCGGAATCACGTGTAACATACTGAACGTGTTAGTGTTAACCCGACGCAGCCTCCGGACCCACTCAACCTACACCTACCTGACCGGCCTCGCTGCCTCCGACGCCCTGACACTTCTCTTCGTCCTCCCTCTGGCCTTCCTTCGTTTCCTCATGGTGCTCAACGTGAAACAATGTCTAACGAGACCGCAAGCAGTGTTCGAAGTCTACTTCTTCATGCCTTTGAGCAACACGTTCTCTGCTCTCAGTATTTGGATTGCAAGCGCTGTAGCTCTGGAACGTTTAATCTTCATCCGCTACCCGGTGACGTGTAAGATCTACTGTAAACCGAAGGTGGCATGTGTCGTACTGGCGACCCTCGCGTCGTGCGCTGTTCTCTTTCATCTTCCGTATTTCTTCACGCGGGAAATCACCGACGGAAACGCGACGACGGGCAATGCTACGAACGTCGGCTGCCACGACGTCGCTTACACGGGCGTGTCGGCGACGCGATCCTACCAGGCGTACCGCTGGATCCGCGTTACCCTCGTGCAGATCGTCCCCTGGTTGCTCCTGCTCGTCTGTAACCTCTGGTTGCTGCACAGCTTCCGACGGTCACGGAAGATGACGCGTAGTAACAGCGGCAGCGGCACGAACAGTACGTTCAGCAAGGCAGAGAACCGTCTCACGCTGATGCTCATTGCCATAGTGTTTGAGTCGCTTATCCTGGACGTCTCCATCGCTCTCACGGACCACGTCAGCTCGGCCGTCATATTCGGCGGTGGTGACGAGGAATTCTACAACAGCGCCGCCTACGCTAAACTCACGCTAACGGAGAACTTTATCGAAACTCTGAGTCACTCGATCAACTTCGTTCTCTACTGCCTGCTCAATAGAAACTTCATGCGAGAAGTGCAGGTTCTGTGTTCGTGCGGAGCGACGATGAAGTTCTCCGCGTACAGCATGGCCGACGGAACTCTGACGACACCACGGAACAGCATAGACTTACGCTACCTGGGATCGGAGAGAGGGCGACGTGCGTCGGCTCTCAAAGCCAGCATCAAATCGTGCAGGTAACGGCCGGCCAAGCGTCGGCATGAACTAATGAACATACGATGATGAACGTCGATAAGTATAGGTGAACAGTTCCTGCATTGTTGTTCATCGGTATGCCATGCAATGAACATACCCTGGTGGACGTCAGTAACCGTAGGTGAACATTTCCCACATTGTTGTTTAGCGGTAAGTCATGTAGGTGAACATTTCCCNTCTCTCTCTCTCTCTCTCTCTCTCTCTTCAGTTAGCCTCTCGTCTACCTTTATAAATGTGTCACCCGTCACTGATAGTGAGAGCTAGTACAAATATTGTAGACTGATAGTAGACTAGTAGACTCGTGATTCTATTTCACAACTTGTTTACTGTGTCTATCGCAAGCAGGAATGTGTGCACACGAATGCACCGGTGAAGTGTTCGTTACAGTTACCCGGAGCAGTGTGCGCGTGCATGCGCCGTTCAAGTGCCGGTAGTATCACCGTGAGTGCTCGCGATCAGCGTGCATGCAGATGTGGTGAAAGCGCGCGTTGAAACTGGGTGAGCCGTGAGCGAGAGTGAGTAAGCAGCAACGTTCGTACAAGCACCCTCACCGCTGCTGTGTTCACACGCGTGCATAGTGAAGTGCAAGTGTTTGTTTGTCTGTCAAATGAATGCGTGATCTGTTCGCAACACTAGAAAGAGAGTAAGGTGAGTAGACTGCTTTAACTACACACACACACACACACACACACACACACACATGCGCGCGCGCACACATACACACACACACACACACACGCGCGCGCGCAC